AACACATCATACCAGGATGTCATGGGAACTGGTGAAACCCTGTGCAGTACCAAGTTGACTTGCAAGGCTTCAATAGATACTTAAGAAATGGTGGGTTTGGGAACTTTTTAAAAAACATAGGGCCAAACTCAGAGCCCACCTGCTCAAGGAGACCATGTCCCAGCACAGCTTGTGGTCTGCTAGCAGAGAGGCATTGGGTTGGGAAGGGTTGGAGGAGGGGACTTGAGAAATGGGTCTGTTGTGCCTCATATCCCAGAATATTTTTTTCTTGCAGGAGACGTCCTGCCACTGCCCAGGAAAACTCCCTTCTTCCCTGGAGTAATTGCCTATGGAAGGTCAAACCAAGTTGCCCTCGATGATATCTCGGTAGGATTGATCTTGTATGGCAGCAAACAGCAGAATAGCATTTGGGACAATAAAACCCTTGTTGATATTTGACAGTTGCTCACATGGACATCTATGAAAAAACTTGCCTCTGCTGCTCTCCTTCAATGATCCCATCAAGCAATGATGTCCTCCATCACCCTCATCAGGAGGTGGAAATTACATCTCATGTGTCTAAGCCAACAGAGAAAACACCGGGATTTCTGCTGGGTGAGGCGGGGAGGGCGAAACTTCTCCCTAGTCTCCTTCCCTGATTATAAGCTCTTTGCGGTAGGGATCTCACCACCTCCTGTAGGCTTTTACAGCACCCTGTGGAATCAAACCCTCCACCAGATGTGACTCTGATGTTGATCACTGTTAGTGAAAACGTGTCCAACAGAGCCACAGTGGTTCTTAACTGGGAAAGTCGAAGACTGTTTTGATAACACCTCTAATTTGCTCTTAATGTCTATCTTATGCAAGAAATGAGGCATGTATCCCACGGAAAAATGACTTGTGGAATGCAAAAACATATCCTATAAGCAAGGAGAGAGCTATGGTTGCACAACCCATAGGGTCATTTCTCCCCAGGGGAGTGAAAGGTACATGACAGAGACCTCAAGTAGGTGAACTGTGCTGCACTGCAATGCGGTGACAGCATTTCCCGAGGAAAGGTGACAGAAAGGAAGCAGGGACAGGCACTATTAATAGCACTGCGGGACATCAGCATAATTTTGTATGAGAAACTAAAGGTGCTTCACTAGCCCAAGACATGGCCCCTTCTGAATGTCACCATCAGGGAGGGAAGAGGAGCCTGCATATGCTTGGGGGGGAAAACTGATATCATTTATAAGACTAGCTGGAAACAAATAGGCACATTTCTGGGTACCAATGTGCCTTATCAGCTTTTTTGTAATAGCTGTGTTATATAAAGTACCAACCAACCTGAAGGTCAGCTACAACCAGGATGGACCTGTGTATCGAGCAGAGGTCAGCCTGGGGGTTGACTCCTCAACCCAAGCTGAATGTCCGCTTGTGAGCAACGACTCCTGCACATGGCAGGAGGATGCCCACCATGGTCACCTGGGATGTGTCATCCTTCTTGGATGAGGCAGGTCCCAAGCAGGGAAAGATGGTGCACCAAGTAAAGGCATTGCTTGTGGGATCTGGGGCACTGCTTAGTGCCAAGTGCTCACCACCTTCAGGAGAAGGGGAAAAGCTGCCTGATGAAAACCAGACCCAACTGTGCCAGGGCTTTGGGGCCACACCTGCTCTAACTAATGAAGCAGGACAACCTCTTCTCTTCTTGCAAATTCATTGCATGTCAACCCTACTCCCATCCTTGGCTGCTACCAACCTTTCCTAACCCTCTCCCAACCCATGCACTGCCAAATGGCCCTGCTCATTCTCTCCCAAGCCTCACTGTCTTCAATACCCCATCCACAGTCGTGCAATTTTGAGTCTCTCCGTATCCAGATGAGGTTTAAAACAAAAAACCCAGAACTCACAACTGTTTTGCTGGACATAAAATCTCACCCTGAGGAATGTTTATATCACCTGTGTGGCTTCACCAGCTCTGAAATGAAGCTTTTCTCTCCCAGAATGATGCCTGGGACATTAAGGTAATAGCACTGCAATAAAGTATAAACAGCTTTGCAACCTGTTTGTGCTCCACAGAATCATTTAGGTTGGAAAAGACCTCTGAGATCATCGAGTCCAGCCTTTGACTAGTCACCACCTTGCCACTAGACCATGGCACTAAGTGCCACATCCAGTCATTTCTTGAACACCTTCAGGGATGGTGACTCCACCACCTCCCTGGGCAGCCCATTCCAATGTTTAACAACCCTTTCTGTGAAGAAATTCCTCCAATGCAGTCTGTTTTTTTTTCCTATTCCCTTTTTTCCTCCTATTTGTACCTCCCCCCCATTTCTACCATGCTCTTCTCATAAAATAACAATTCTGAGACCTCATTAACTGCTAGAAATCAATTTTTAGGAGCAAATGCTCTCTGGGGGCAACTCAAGCAGCACTATGAGGACTAAAACTCCCCTCCTAGTCCCAAATGCACTGCAGAGATAAGGGGATCTTGAAAACCCCCAGCATCAAACCACAAGGCATGGGGAAAGGGGGGCTGCTGAGGTCCCCAGCCAATGTCTAGGGGATGGGACCATGACTTTTCTGCTTAAATATTTAAGAGACTGTTGTTTCACTCCAACTCCCTCTACTAGGGCTTCTTAGCTTTTTGCAATTAAAATTATGCTTTTCGATCTAAGCTTTTACACCACTGTGGAGGACTTGGTCAGGACTGCATACCCTCCGCTCTTTCCATTTTATTAAATATGTGACTGATTAGGGCTGAAACAACCCCATGTCTCCTCCTGAATGATGCTGTATCAACTGGGTTTTCAGGCTTTTGTCTCTCCTCCTGGGATATTATCCCAATGATTAGGTCTGGGCTGCATCTCACCCCTTCATCTTCCAACCCCAGTCCAAGGCAGTTTCTTTGCTATCTCTCCTTGCCATCCATGCAGGAGGAGGGGATGCCCTGGGGGGCTGAATGCTTCTGTCTGCTAATGGTTTATCTGAAGGGATGAGAAAGAAAAAGAAATAGAAAGGCACATCTAGTGTGATCTCTCCAACTGGCTGGTTTTTTGGATGGGAGGGAAGAACCAACATGCAGTTCCATGGCTCTGGTCCAGTTTTGGGCAAAGGGGGTTCAGGCAGGAGCCCCCTTGGCTCTGAAAGTATCCTTTCACACAGCATCATGCACTCTTTGGATGGGAAAGGAAGATCCGCTCGGTGAACTGGGATGGGAGCAAAATCCTCCAACCTCCACTGCAAATTTCTTGGAGAGCCCACCCCAGCACTATGAGGAAGCCCACCCAACTTGCTCTTGCTACACAATCAGACTTCAGCTTGGTTTTAACCATGTTTTGGTGATCACAGGGCCACAACCCAGCTGAAACAAGACCTTTCTTTTTCATAAATCACAAGACTAAATTGGCTTTTAAATTGTGTACAGAAAAAAAGGAGGGAGCCCCAAAGAAGAGAGAAATGGAGTTTGCTGCTGATGAACTGCACTGCCCACAACAGAATGTTTCTAGACTGCTTAAGCAAACTCTTTGTCAGTTGTTTTTTTGGTCATTGGTAAAATTTGGGAAAACCAAATCATGCACAGAGTTAGCTACATCATGGCTGTTCACGAGTCGAGAAGCAATGGGGAGATTTGAGGACATACTCCAACTATTATTACAGGTAGGATTTCACTGAAAATCCCCCGTGAGGCATGACAGCTCAAATACAGATTTCAGCTCATTCTAGGAGAAAACATTGACCGCTTTTTCTGCTGTTCAATCACATTAACCTTGCAAACTCCTGCTTTTAGAAACACTTTATTGCCCCGGTTGTGTTCTCTCAACCACAGCAGAACATGTCGGCAGAAATAAAGCTGCATGTACAACTAACTCACTTATTCCCCATTTATTTTCACATTAAACCATAGTCATGATTCCTATCAAGGACTCTCAATGCCCTTGTATAATTAAATATGCAATTTACACAATTAAATATCCAATTGACCCAATTAAATTAACTTAATGTATTGAAATCACCAATGCCACAGGAACTCAGCTGCCTATTTAGCACATCCCCTCCTTCACACATCTGAGGGTCACTGCAACCTGCTCTCAACCAAACCATGTCCACTTTGTAGGCAACCCTGAATGTCAGAAAATTTTACCTTTCAATAGAAAGAAAAAGCAAGTCCCAAGGACTCAAAGCTTTTGCAAATAATACCTTGCCAACTGTCTCTTCTAATACAAGTGGGGGGATCTGACTATGCTGGAATAAGTATAAAGGGAAGAGAAGGTCCTTAAGATACTCCTGTAGCAATATAGGACATAACCTGTAGCCATATAGAATAATGAATGTAGCTTAAAACTATGTAGCAAACCATGTACCTTGACCTATATTAAAGGTCAGCAGTCTCAGAAGAAAGGAATTTCTTAAGAGATAGAAGGTCTCCTTATTCTGAAGCAGAAATGATAAAAGGAACAGGCCAGTCAAAACTAGCCTTGTTCTCTGGCAAAGTTCCAAAGGGCATGAAGATGTGCCAAAAGTAAGGGTTCGAGAAAAGGAGAGCATGAGGAAGACTACAGAACAAACAGAATGACCACGGACTCAAAATGGGAGGCGTGTCAATGGGAGGAACAGTTCTGGGAAAGGGGGTGAACAGGATTAGGTAATGCTTGAATTGTTAATTAGGTAACTGAATAAAGGAAGGAGGCTTTTGTAACTCAGGTATGCACAATTTGGAAAAAATATTCTCTTGTGCATCCAGCGTGGTTAAATAAAAGAAGGCTTTGCTCCCTAAAACTCAAAAAAGGGTCTTAGAGAGTTTCTTTATATCTGGTTTTCTGGCAACAAACCAAGATTTAAAAGACAAACCGGGGGGATTTGCTTCCAGGACTGTATTTTCAGGACATTACTGTTCAAATAAGGGTTTATGCATTAACCCAACACTGGCAGCTGCTAAAGAGCAGTATTGTCCAAAGACACTCCATGAGACAGTAGGAGAAGATGTACAACAAAGAAGAGTAGATTTATAAAAAAAACATAAAAGAGGTTTCACCTACCTCCGGTCATTTCTCCTCCTTCTGAACAGTTTTTTGGTGTGTGCGATTTCAGCTTGATGAGGCAATGAATGGTAACCCTGTAAAACAGAAGGAAATGCAGTAATCAGCTCCAAGAGACAGGAGGCATCAATATGGAAGGGATCAGAGTGAGACAGAGCTGCACACTCAACATGTCAGTGTGATAAAAGAAACAGTTGCCATTCAAACATCCTTACAACATCTCAGACCCTATTGAAGCAGGACTGGAAATCCACAGACTTGCACCCTCTCAGGGTTGGTGCAATAAGCAGGACATGAAGTTGTCTGCAATTCCTGTATGGGAGAAACCACATGGGGCAAATAACTGGGCTGTGATGGTCAATAAAGACAAAAAGAGATAATTTGCTTATCAAATTATATTTGTAATACTGTAATTGTGAACTGTGATGTTATGTTATCATGACGAATTATATTCTATGTTACCTCTAGATTTTAGATATCTATGTAGAAAGTATTTTCCCTAGCAACTGCAGCAGAACCTGTCAAGGAAGACATAAAACAGGAGAAAGGCCCCTAAAACGAAAACACTCTTAGCCGACACAATCTGATAAGAGGAAGGAGGCGGTCAGACCTGATAAGAAAGAAGACGCCAGGAGGAGCTGATAAGAAAGACAAGAAACAGGGAAGAGAAGATTCCTTAGCAACAAAGGCAGAGCATGCGCAGAATGAACTGGTAACAAGAAACTTAGGAGGAGATTTGGGGCTATAAAAAGGAAAACTGAAACTTATTGAACTCGCGGACTATTGAGGGGGGGCAAAAACCCCGTCTGCCCAGCGCTGCTTGCTCGTTTGCCTTAAATAAAACTTTTGTAAAACTTTAAAAGAGTTTTGCTCTCGTTTACCGATAACATGGGCCATGTATGGGTAGATCCCAATACACACCATTGGCAGGGAATTCACCCACTTCACACATGACACTGCTGACACTGGTGCACCTAAACTACCCACTTTTACTGAGCTGTTTCATTTGTGTATTTATCTAAACCCCAGCTGCACAAATGTCTTTAAAGGGATGATGCTCAGCCGCCTTTTGAGGATATTGGAGTAAGCCAACAGGAGCTACAGTTGGCAGGTCTGTTGGAGCTGTGCCCCCATGCCATTAGCAAGTCAACAACCACATCACGAGCACCTCACTGAGCCTGCCCACCACTAGCTAGCCCCTGAGGAAGGGACAGGCAGCATCCACCTTACTGGAAACAACTGAGATGACAAGGATGTTAGATGGTCCAAGCCAAGACAGTGTAAAAGCTATGTGTAACTGTATTGGGTCTGGCTGAGCTGATGTTCATTTCCCTTTAGTAGCCCTCACAGTGCTGGGCTTTGCATTGGTAGCTAGAAGGGTGTTGATAACACACTGGTGTTTTGGCTTCTGCTGAGCACAGCATCAGCACTGTAACATTCCTTCCTCAGTCAAGGGCTAGATTCTGGGAGGGGACACAACCAGGCCAGCTGACCCAAACTGACCAAAGGGATATTCCATATCATAGGACATCAGCTCAGATATAAAAGCTAAGGGAAGGAGCAGGAAGGCAGGCATTCATTGTCTCCAATAGCTGCCTGCTGAGAAACTGTTATGCGTGCTGAAGCCCTGCTTCTCGGAAGTGGCCGGCCATCACTGCTGATGGGAAGTGGAGAATAAACCATTATCCTTTGCTTTGCTTTTGTGCACGCAAGCTTTTGCCTAACTTCTGCTTTGATAAACTGCCTTATCCATACCCACTAGCTGTTCTCCATTTTACTCTCTCCCCTGTCTGTCTGGGGAGTGATAGAGTGTCTGAGTGGTCACCTGGCATCCAGTCAAGGTCAACCCACCACAGTCCTTTTTGGCGCACAACATGGGGCATGATAAAGGCAGTTAAATATATATATTGCATGCTATAGTAATAGTAGCTATTGAATAGCAAGCTCCTGTGCGGGACACAGAGTCTAGCTGCACTGCTTATCACTTTGTTTTGGGAACATACTAATCTAAACAATGGCTCCGTGCTTTGCCTTTACACTAATGGCCTTGTTATGCTTGGGGAGTTATCTTCTGGGGAGCTATCTGGGGATGATGGAGGAATGCACCCTTCCCCCCCTCCCTGACATTGATATAAATGGCTTTATAAGGAAGTCTTCTGTGCTCCTTGCTAACTAATCCTTATGTGAGCAGTTTAGTAATGTGTTATAGTTTCATACCTTTTTTTTTTTGGTGAATTTTCCACACCAGCAGTCTTTGCTAGGGTGAGATACACATCAGGTTTCATTATTTGTCTAGCTCAGGCCTTAATGACCGTCCTATTGAAAAGTTAAATAACCTCGGCTCACGGGTTGAATTGCTTAAGGGAAATCCCATCCCCCCCTGTAGCCACGGGCTGAGGGGTCAGCCGAGGTGGGGGATGGGGTGGGGAGCATTAGGCAGTAAGCTTTTTAGACTGAGGGATGGGGAATTTATTCCACTTCTGCCCTGCTTCTTTGGTGGGGTGAAGGGAGACCTCAGTTTTCCACCAGTGCTGATTTCCATCCCCTGCTGGTTCCATTGCCTTCAGCACTCAGTGGTTGCTTTGCTCAGATTTGCCGTAGTTTAAGAGGGATCCTGGCTCGTCCCCCGACCACCTACTTTTGGGTCTCTGTATCAGTTTGGCCTGGCTCTCCCGCCAAGCCCAAGCTGTCTCCTCCCCCCTCCTGCTCTCCTCAAGCGAGGAAAAAAAACCGAACCACAGGGAAAAAAACTGAAAGAAGTTCGAACGAAACGGGATTATATCAAATATATATATATATATTACATATATTTACAGTTATATATACAATTGGAATATATTATAAACAACGGGGAGCTCCCGAGGGGGAAAAAGGGAAAAGGGAGGGGGAAAACGGATAAAAAGAAACCTAAAACCAAATATCTCCTAAATATACCCGTTAATAGAGAGCTAATGAATAAATACAAAAATGAATTAAATACTGCCCTTGTGATAGTCAATAAAGACAAAAAGAGATAATTTGCTTATCAAATTACATTTGTAATACTGTAATTGCAAACTGTAATGTTATGTTATCATGGCGAACTATATTCTATTATGTTACCCGTAGATCTTAGATATATATGTAGAAAGAGATCTCCCTAGCAACAGGAGCAGAGTTTGACAAGGAAGACACGAAACAGGGAAGAAGGGGCCCCTAACAACAAAAACAGAGTCTGTGCGACACAGCTGATAAGAGGAAGGAGGCAGACAGACCTGATAAGAAGAAGACAGGCAGAGCTGATAAGGAAGAAAAGAAACAGGGAAGAAGAGGCCCCTAGCAACAAGAACAGAGCATGCGCAAACTGAACTGATAATGAAAAAAAAAAGAAAACAGGAGGAGACCCTGGGGAAGGCGGGAAGCTATAAACCTATAAAAAAGACAAACTGAAACTTATTGAATTTGCGGACCGTTGGTGGGGCAAGAGACCCCTGTCTGCCCAGTGCTGTTTTGCTCATTTGCCTTAAATAAAACTTTTATACAACTTTAAAAGAGTTTACTCTCTTTTGACTATAACATCCCTGAGTGGGACAGCAGAGCTGTGCAAGGCAGCAGCCAACTCCCCCCATGCCTCCCGGAGAGACTGGAGATAACGGCAGGTCGGAGCAGGCAGGCTTTGACCTATACAAGAAAAACCGTCTTCGAGAGGGACCTGTCGTCTTCAGCCACCAGAAGAGAGAAGAGAGCGAACTCTCTTATCTGCACCTTTTTATATGTTGTGTTACGGAAAGGAATGACATGGAATACTTCCTTAGATTCCTGACCCTGTTGCTAAGGAAGGCCTAAAAAATCCAAGAAACCAACCCACTACATTCTCCCTGTTCTTCGCTGGATGGACCGGCACCTCCGTCCCTTGCCAGGCGCTTCCGCCATAGCCGAGGGGAGGGGGCCCGGGCTTGGCGTGGACTGTCTAGAGCAAGCACTCTTGGAGATGGCCTGCCTGGAGGGAGATCCTTATGTGCCATTTGGGGGAGCCTTGTTTGCCAGGGGAGTTCCCTTTGTGCCACGTGGGGAGCCCTGTTTGCCAGCAGGCCCAAGGAACAGCTTGCGGGCACCCCCCCCCGCTGGTTGAAAGGAAGTCACTGCATTTTCGTCTGCGCTCTCCAGCGCCACCTGGTGACCGTGAGTGAGTCACTGCAGCCCCTGCCTGCAAAGGCGCGCCAGTGCTCCCTGCTGGGTGTGGTTATAACTGCGATGAAAGGCAAAAAATAATTCTTTTTGGTGAAAGTTTCGGTTACGGAATTGTTACTTGTTCTGTTGTGTTACATATATATATATTTAGTAAAGAGCTGTTATTTTCTTTTCCACCCCTTTTTGACTGAAGCCTCTTAATATCGAAGTTATAATAACTCAGAGGGAGGAGTTTGGTTTTTCTCCTATCCTGCCCTCCTTAGCAAACACTTTTGTCTCATTAAACTAAGACATAATGATACTGTTTTTAACTAATACTGTCAGCACATTATGGAGTTTGTGGAATCTGGTGTTATCCTGGTGTAGGAGAAAACCAACTTTAGGTGATGATATATTGGTGCGCTCTGAGGTGCCCAGTTCCTGGGTGGCAGGGTGTGTGGAAGGATTTGGGCAGGTTCCCAGGGTGTTTGACACCTCCCATTACCTGGGACTTCACACCTGAACAGGTGTCAGCAAACTAACACATCACCTGAAGGAAGGGTGCCTTGCCTACCCCAATCAAAACCAGCAGCTTCTTGCCCTGTACTGGGGCCTGGTCTGTGCTTATCGAGCCACAATTCAATATTCTCAGGAGACTGTAGTGGAGGCAGGGACCCAAACTGCAATGGAGGACACTATGGCTGAGGTAGGGACTCAAACCACAACAACTACAGTCATTGCCCCAGTAGTGAAAAAGAAGAAATGGATAAGGCAAGCTACAGGTCCATATCAGTGATAAGTAAGGGAGGAAGAGGAAGAAGAAGAAGAAGGAGGGGAGTGGGTAAATGAACTAGCCGGTCCTTCAACAAAGGAAGTCAGAAAAATCAAACAGGAAACCCAGGTTACCTGGTCCCTGGCCTCATCAGAA